CTCCAAACCGTGTAATGGGCCAAGCCCATTAGTTTCTACAACCCCATTCCATAATTTGCTAAATCATAAAGCAAAACGCACCCCCCTGTCCAGAAACATCTAGGCCATCCTGGCCTGCTTTTAAGACACCCCCTATTTTACTTAGTAACTAGAAAATGCACCCCCCTGGTTTTAATTAAATTAATTTTTTTTTACTTTTAATTCCATTTTCCCATGCTATTTATTTATTATTATTATATTATTATTATTATTATATTATTATTATTATTATATTATATTATTATCCTTTTTTATTATTATTTTTATTATTATTAGTTATAATTATTATTATCATCAATAATAATTTTTATTTATAATATTATTATTATATGACCAAATAAATTATTTTCATATTAAAATTACATATATTATTTTATATATTATTTGCATTAAAATATTTTTATCATGCATTAATCAAGATCTTCACAAATATTACGATTAAAATACACGAACTAATTATCAAACTATTTTTCGCAATCAACTAATCTAAACAACTATTTTTTGCAAAAGGGTTTCAAACTAGTTTTGGCTTACTACGCACTCAGTCAAAATCTCTGCAATCACTACTCCCGACCGAGTGCGAAGTGATTCAAAATATGTTTTCAAACCCCTAAAAAACACCAACCCATACGAACTACGAATTGGGACTCTGATTTCTCTTAAGAGGATACGTAGGCATACGATCAAAAATCGTAGCGAGTTCTACTATAAAAAAATTTAAGCCCTTTCTTTCTAATTAAAACTTAAAATCTAGTTTACCCCAAACCTAAACCTAGAGCTTAATATCCTTGTGAAAAAGGTGGATGAAAGGTGCCTAACACCTTCCTTTCGTCTAATTGAGTCCGAAACCTAGAATCTCTGTCCACGAATTAGGATTTTCTGTTAGGTTCCCTTCCCTAGGATAAAAACTAATAGTGGCGACTCTTGATTAAAAAACTAGTTGCTACACAATGATAAAAGAGAAATTTTAGAGGATATCTTGAGCTTTCCAAAAAGTCAAAGATCACCTTCAAAAGATGAAAATAGAGAGAGTTATGGACAATGCAAGTTGGGAAATTTTGAGAGAATGCATGAACAACAAATTGAGAAAATTTGTAATTTTGGGCTATTGGGCTTAAGTTTTTAGATCCAAACGTGTTCATGACATGTTTAAAGACCCATAAATCCATTCATGCATTATCTTTTATTTTTATTTTATTTACTTTGATTTTTATTCAATTAAGTCCAAAATAAATTAAATATAATATAAGATCAATAGGTTAAGACATGTGGGCTTTACTATGGATCATATTTAAGGCCCAAGATTTCATGTGCAAGCTGTCAAATTCGTGCAAGGTTGATTGGTGCAAGGTTGAGCCAAAAATAGCAAGTTTCACATAATTCCAAATCAAATCTCTTTCTCATAATCATGCAAGATTTCCTTCAATTTTTGTTGACCTAATCTCATGTTCTATATATACTTAACAACATCAGATATAAAGGACACATGAAAGCTACCTAAAAAACCCTAGCAAAATTATCAAATTTTCAAAGAATTAGGGCAAAGTCAAACTCTCATATCCAACCCTTGTCAATCAATTCCAGACATCCAAGCGCGTTCCTGAAATTCCCATAAGGCGATCCATACCCTTGCTCAAGCTTGAAGCACGCCATAACTCCCTCTTTCAAGCACGCCGGTTGAGTAAGGTTTCGTGAAACCAAACTTTTAAACCATGTGATTTACATTGAATTAATGCATATATACATGTTCGTGTTGATTTTTGTGATTGTTTAGAACCACTTTTTGCAAGCTTTAACGCAGGAATACATGATTTCCATTGTTAGGGCATAGAGGAGTCCATTGGTCATTTTTTCTTTTGTTATTGAAAATATGGGGCGGTTTGGGTGGAGCTTTTTAAGTCTTTGGTTGGTGATTCGGCGGTGGGGATTGTTGTGGATCTGGGGTAGTTACATGGCTCGGTTAATCTCATGATTTCGAATCTCAAGTTAAGGTTATGTAAGTTCATTAAACCTTCTCTTTTTTATTTATTTTGGTTACTTGTTTGTTGGTGTATTTGGTTAGGTAGGAACAATGTTATTTTTAACAACAAGGTGAAAAATGGTAGTGGTATTTTGTTGTTAATTAAGGCGTTGGGTTGAGATTGATTTTCCTTTATTCGAAAGAAGTGTGCGTTTGGGATAAAGACATTTGGATTTCTAATCCTAGGATTTATGTTGGTTTGTCATTGTCTTGTTTGGGGGTGTTTTATTTGTTTCCTCCTTTTTGGAGTTTCTTCTTGTATTGGGTTAGTGTTAGTGCAACAATGAGGGGAGGGTCGAGCGAGGAACATTCTTACTTTGAGACTTTTCGATTTGAGCAACGCACTTTTATGAGAGACACACCATGTGTCCACCTAAAATTTTAAGGTGATAGGTGGGTGGATTCTCACACTTATAAATGCTCAAGTCACCATATTCATATCCAATATTGGACTATTTCCCGACTTACTCACACTTGCATTATTCTCAACACTTCTCCTCAAGTGTAAGTCACTCAAGTGTGAGCCTATTATGCTCCCCTTCAAGTGGAAGCTCGTTCTTCCACACTACTTGTATCGCATGGAACTTTTCTTACTCACCACCTTTGTGGTGCCGTCACCATCGTGTAGCGCCATTGACTTTGCGATACAAGTAAGTCGGTCTTTTTCTCGAACCAAAGGCTCATGATACTATTTGTTAACCCAATAGTCGAGGGAGGGTCGACCGAGGAGCATTTTTACTTTGAATTTTTTTGATTTGAGCAACACACCTTTGTGGGAGACACAACACTTATCCACCTAAAACCATAAGGTGATAGGTGAGTGAGCTCTCCCACTTATAAATGTTTAAGTCACCATATTCCTATCCAATGTGAGACTATTTTTCAACTTACTCACACTTGCATTATTCTCAACACCCCCCTCAAGTGTGAGTCTCTCAAGTGTGAGTCTACGATACTCTCCCTCAAGTGGAAGCTCGTTCTTCCGCACAACTTGTATCGCACAGAACATTTCTTACTCACAATCTTTGTGGCACTGTCGACTTTGCGATACAAGTAAGTCGATCTTTTTCTCGAACCAAAGACTCATGATACTATTTGTTAATCCAACAGACGAGGAAGGATCGGCCGAGGAGTACTTTTACTTTGAGACTTTTCGATTTGAGCACACACCTTTGTGGGAGACACATCGTTTATCCACCTAAAATCTTAAGGTGATAGGTGAATAGATTCTCCCAGTTATAAATGCTCAAATCACCACATTCCTATTCAATGTGAAAATATTTCCTTATTTACTCACATTTCCATTATTCTCAACACTTAGCACCCCTTGTGCTTCTTATTATAATTTTGTTATAAAAAAAAGTCTTGCTATGGATAAAGCATTAATCTTAGATTTTAGCACCCCATCTCTTTTATCTTTCTAAGAATTCTCTTTGTGCTAATTGAATCTTTATCGTGTGTTTTATCTCCTTTTAATTTTGATTAATTTTGATTAGATACATGCTAAATTGATTGTTCTTGCATTGATGTCTTTTTAAATGCCAAATTATTGATATTTATGTATTTTGTCCACTGTGTCTCATTTCATACTATTAATTCTAATAGTACAATTACTTAATAATGCAAAGAAATCCCTTTCTAAGGAAGCAAGGGTGGCAGTTTTGGTCACTGTCCAATTAACAAAATATAAATGCAATTAATTGATTTTATAGACATGTTAAAGCATCCAGAAAGTGCCTGTTCATTGAGAACACCAGCCAGGCAAATTGAAAGACATTATGTTGATAGCTTATTTAGCTTTTTGGCAAAAAGTCAGCTTTATCTCAAATTTTCATTTAATGACATGTTTGTGGTAATTTATAGAAACTTTAAATAGCTGAAATAAAATATAGCTTTCTTTATGTATATAGATACACATTCAATGCTCTACGCGGTTTTGAGTGGTACATAACATGCTATAGTAAATAATTTTGCTTTTATTTTTCTCCATGCAGTTATTGCTCTTTGCTGTCAAATTTTGACTCTTGCTCTTTGATATAAGTACTTTTTTAAGTCAATTTCTTATCTCATGCAGAACAGAAAATTAAATTGGCTGCAGTAAAACTTTTGATGCATCACCTAGAGGGTAATTCATGATCGTTTGATCGGGATCATACCGCTAATAATAATAATGTTTTTATTTTAATTTTTAAACCTATCATTTATAAACATATTGACTACCAAGGTTTTAATAATGATAGTAGTCAAGTAAAGGGTCTCGTAATTTAGGTAAGTACATATGTTATATAATCAATTGCGATCATTATGGTTTAAATTAATCATAATTTCTTTTTCATTATAAAAAAGATTAATAACGATATTAGTCTTATTATCTTTCGACACCTTTGTTAAGATATTATTGTGATAATGGACGTTTTTTTTTTAAATCTCGTATATTATGTTAATGTGTCAAGCTTTGAATCGCAGACAATCGCAGTTTTGTTACATGTAAAATTGAATTTATCTGTAATAAAAATATTTGACGCATTCTTGCCCTAAAGATGGAACATACCATAAGGATGGAGTGTAATACTTCATTAAATTTTTATATATTTTTTATTAAAATAAAAAATATCAAACTTAAAATATAGACCGACCGATTAAGATTCAACAATGATAGACATATCGACTACATTAATGCGCCAAAACTTTGAATGTAGACAATCTTATCCTTCAAAATGCATTCACTACCATACCCTTTTGTTTTCTTTTTTTAGCTATAAATGTACACCAAGCAAAGGTAAGGCTTGGACACTTGCCTTTAGAAACCTTTCAAGTCAAGAGATTTCAGTGAGATAAAAGCAAAAGAAAAGAAGGAGAGGGATTGGAAGAAAAAGGGTTCTAGAAATTAGTGACAACACAAAAGTGTTGTAAAAACATTAGAGAAACAAAACAAAGAAACATGGGAAGACCACCATGTTGTGACAAAGAAGGTGTTAAGAAAGGACCATGGACACCTGAAGAAGATATCATACTTGTTACTTATATACAAGAACATGGTCCTGGAAATTGGAGGGCTGTTCCTACAAAAACAGGTTCATATAATTCCTAACTTTTCAAATTCATTGATATATATTTTTTTATCATGAATTCATAATTGAACTAGGTAGATCTGAAATGAAGTGATTTATTGTTATTTATACTTATTATTATTATTATTATTATTATTAATATTATTATTTTAATATAAGGATTGGGAAGAAATTAACTTATTTAATTTTTTTGTGGTTTAATTTTTTAGGGTTATCAAGATGCAGCAAGAGTTGTAGACTTAGATGGACAAATTATTTAAGACCAGGAATCAAAAGAGGTGATTTCACTGAGCAAGAAGAGAAGATGATTATCCATCTTCAAGATCTTCTAGGAAATAGGTAAGTAAATATAATTTCTTCATAATTTACTATAAAATAAATAAACTAATGATAGAAAATTATATAGAGTGAATATGTAAAATATGTTTCCAATTTTTTCATAAAATTTAACTATAAAAAGAAATAATTGCCAAAAGATTACTGAAATTTTTAATTAAGGAGGTCTACCATATTTTGAAAAAACAAAATACAATTATGGAGTAGTTCAAGTTTCATATTTTTTTCTCTAATTTTTTAGTAATATAATCTTAAACCAAACACTTAAGTACTATACTAGATAATTTTGAAGATTTGTTATTAATTTTTTTAGTATTTAATTTACTAAGTAAATGGAAATTTAACAATAAAATTTTCCTCCACAAAATTAGAGGAAAATTTCATGTTTTTTTTTCTTCTGAAATTTTTTACTTAATTTAATTATTTTTTAGTAGTGTTTATGATAGCTTATTTAATGTTGACATGGCTAAGTGATGATCACATTGATTATATAACAGATGGGCTGCAATAGCATCATACCTTCCACAAAGAACAGATAATGACATAAAAAATTATTGGAACACTCATTTGAAAAAGAAGCTCAAGAAATTAGAAATTGGAAATAATTCAGAAAACAATTTTGGAGATGAAGAATTTTCAGCAACACAAAGAATTCCAAGAGGCCAATGGGAAAGAAGGCTTCAAACAGATATCCAAATGGCGAAAAAAGCACTTACAGAAGCACTTTCACCACAAAAAATAGCTTCTGCTACTTTTTCTGCTTCAAACCCTTCTAATAGTAACTCAGTTTCTTCCACTAAAGAAACAGCTCGATCTTTTTGCTATGCTTCAAGTGCTGATAACATAGCTAGGTTACTAAAAGGTTGGATGAAAAACCCGATAAAATCTTCGAGAAGTAGTACTTCGGCCTTGACGCAAAATTCCTTCAACAACTTTGTTTCTGTAGGGAATAATGATACTGCTTCTAGTAGTGGAACAAAGGGTGAAGTATTGTATGACACATTCGAGTCTTTGTTTGGTTTCGAGTCTTTGGATTCGTCGAATTCTGAATTCTCTCATCAATCTTTGTCGCCAGACGCGACTGTTTTACAAGATGAAAGTAAGCCGGAAGTTGGTTCGGAAATAATGCCATTTTCTTTGCTTGAGAAATGGCTTCTTGATGAAGCTAGTTGTCCTGAGAAAGTAGTGTTAGATTGTGGTGATGACCATGCTCAAGTTTTCTAGATTGATTCAAGTTGCAAAAATAAAACATAAGACATGGTTTTACCTTGTCGCGCGATAAAAACTACGCTGCGAATCTTTATTTAAAGTAAAATACAGGCAAATGCAGCTAAAATTTTGGTTGTGAAGTTGATGCTTGGTTCAAATTGTAAATTATATGGTTTTAAATTGGGATCACAGTTAAGATTAAGCTGCGAACCTTTATATTATAGTAAAATACAAGCAAATGTGACTGAAATTGCGGTTGTGATATGATGTTGCAAAGACACTTATATAGCATAATGGAAAACTTGCTTCACTTGTGTAATGGTTTGGCAATGTTATCTTCGTTTTTGAATTAATGGTTTCATTCTTCTTCCCAAATTGGGGTTTTCTAATGTTTATATAGCAACTATTGTAGTAAGGTTTTTATTTTTACAATTTTCTCTAACACTTTCTTTTAAGGGTTTACAAAACATGGGAAATTAAGAAGAAAAAAAATCACTAAAGAAAGAGCAAGCAATAACATTTCCACAAGTTTACTTAAGTTAACCCTAGAACAAACATATTCATCCCTACTTTATTATACCAAAGGAAAAATTAAGCTATTTTGGTCGTCTCTACTTATGTTTAGTATATTCTTTTTTATAAACAAAGAAATTATATTAAAATGAGTATAAGGATACTCAACTCAAATACAAAATAATGAGAATAGCTGCAAATACATCAAAATCAATAACAAATTTGAATTCCAAACATAGAACAATTTAGTTGGTCATTCGATCTAGCACTAAACCAATTCAAAATTAATGATTTCGCCAAAAGAACAATCTCAAGACTCTTTTTCATTCCGCCATTAAAAAAGATATCATTTCTAATTAACCATATAACCTTCACAAGAACTAACCGAACTAGTATCGTACAATTTCTCTTCACCCTCCCCTCTATTAAAGAAACAAATAACAACAAGTGATCAGAAATATCATGAGATAAATTAAATTTATTCACCCATGCCCAATTAAAAATAAAGGACCAAACCTCCACAAACAAAGAGATGATCTAATAGATAGTGGACAAATTTATGGTAATTAAGAGCATCCACATCCATCATGTCTACTTGGATTCTTTAAATAAGATTCATTCAATTTTTTATATTATATCACTTTCACATTTTCTAAACAACTCAACTACAATTTTCAAAAATTCAATCAACTCATAAAAAATTTTAAAATGGGTCTCACCAAATCCAACTATATATCTCACATTTATATTATAAATAAATATAATTGAAACAAGTTAATTCAAATATATCAAAATACATTAAAAAAAGTTATACATTTAAAATAATATACTAAAAAATACATTAAAAAAATATAATCGTTAAAATGAATTACTAGCATAAAATACAAGAAAACGATATATTTAAAATACTTTTCAGTTGTTGTTATTCTCCTGCCCAAAATGCTGACATATATGTTCTATCAAGTCTTGTTAAAGGTGTCGATGAATTTGTTTATCACAAACATCAAATCTTCTACGTAGGAACTCTTGAAAATCAATATTAGAATCATTCGGCAACGTTGTCGCGTCATTGCTCAAATGATCATAAGAAATCTCAAAATTTCCACCACATGTGTCACGTTCATCTTCAACAATCATGTTGTGCAATATGATGCATGTATTCATTATGCCTTGGAGTGTGTCTAAGTGTCAAGATCGTGTTAGGTTACATATGATCGCAAATCGGGATTAGAGAACTCCAAATGCTCGTTCAATATCCTTTCTCGACCCTTCTTGATGTTGGGAAAACAATTTTCTCTTGTCCTCTTGTGGCACCGGGATACTTTTCATAAACGTAGCCCCTTCAGAATAAATACCATCTGATAGATAATAACCCTTGTTGTATTCAGTATGATTGATTGTATAGTGAACTTCAGGAGCTCTTCCTTGCAGAACATCGTTGAAGATATTGGACTGGTTCAACACATTAGTATCATTGTTTGAACTTGCTACCCTACATAATGCATGCCAAATCCATAAGTCTTGTGAAGCCACTGCTTCAAGCATAACTATTGGTTTTCCATGATCGTCTCGAACGTACTGCCCTTTCAATGCAACTGGACAATTTTTCATTCCAAATGCATATAATTAATGCTCCCTAAAATACCTGGAATCCTCGTGCTTCCCCCATTTGCATTAGGCATTCAATGTCTTCAGTGTTTGGCCTTCGAAAATATTGTTTCCCATAGATATTGATCACTCCTATTGTAAACTTATCAACACATTTTAGTGTTGTGATTTCACCGATTCTCAAATAATCATCCATGCTATCAGCAGATGTTCCATATGCCAATATACAAATAACAACTGTGCATTTCTGTAATGGTGAAAGACTTGACTTACCAGTTGCATCAACCATCATTCGAAAATACTCATCGTGTTCACCAAGAGCTTCAACAATATGAAGGAACACGTGTTTATGCATTCGATACCTTCGACGAAACTTCTCATTCGTTTATACCAGAGTTTATAAAAAATAATCATTGAACAATCAATCATGCCCCTCTTCATGATTCCTCTCTATATTCCTTCTTTGATGTCTAGGCCTTTTAGAGCTCGAGGTTTCTTCTCCCATAAACAATCTCACAAGCTCTTCATCCAAATCATCATTCATATAATCCATGAACATTTTTGCTATGTGAGAAGGATTAGAAGGATTGGAATGATCCATATGAGAAGAAGTTTGATATTGAGTAGTAAATGATAACAAATTGTAGAGAATGAAAAATGTTGAGAAATACTATGAAACTTAGTGTACATGTTAATACAATTTATAATGCTAGTTTGTAATGGCTAGTTTACATAATGACTAGTTTGACTTTGAATAACGACTAGTTTGACTTTAAATAACGGTTAGTTTGACTTTGAATAAGGGCTAGTTTGACTTTGAATAACGGCTAGTTTGAATAAGAATAACGGCTAGTTTGAATAACAACTAGTTTGAATAAAGATTACTTTGAATAATGAAATTTGAAAAATACATAACCATACTAATAAGTCCATATCAATTAAGTCCAAAATACATAACCATACTAATTAATCTCAAGATACACAATCATAATAATTAAGCCCAAAATACATAATCATACTAATTAAGCTCAAGAAACATAATCATACTAATTAAGCCTAAAATACATAATCATACTAATTAATTCCATATTTTTCTCTAATCATGTCATACAATATTACATGAGCTTGTAGTTGTCTTGTATCCATATTTCATGTATCTTTTGAGAGTACTTTCAGATCATTCGACTTCAATCTTTCCTCTGCACTCTCAACCTTTTTTCTTTATATCTCAATTTTTTCACCCTCAATACGTACATAGTCTCGTGCAAACATTGATATCAAATCAAATTTTTTTTGAACCCGTATTTCAAAGAATCATATTTGACATTGAGAGTATTAGACATTTCCATAAACCTTTCCTTCTCCTTCCTTTTGGCAGCCTTTTGACCGATTGGACGACGTGACAAAACATGTGATGGTGGATTATATTCGCTACTCGTTGGTGTCGGTGGATTAGAAGATGAAAAAATGCTCCTGAAGTTGAATTCTTTGTTCTTTTTGCAGAAACTTTTAATGAACTTGCGAGCCATTTAGGTTCATCTTTCAATAATCTCCACGCAACTTCAAATATAAACTTTTCACCTTCATCTTGAAAATAACTTTTATATGCAGCTTGCATGATATTGCTCTCGGAGTTTCCACTTTGTTGTGTAGACACCAACTTGTTTGTAGTATCCAACAAACTTTTGAACCGATGAATTGATTTTGTGCCACCGACCTTTTAGTGTCATCGGTTTCCTTTCTTTGTAATTGGTGTCCCAATGCTTGTTGTAAGCTTCACCAATTCTGTTCCAAAAACTATCTCCTTTTTTATCAACTCCAACAATTGAATCCTTTGAAATATTGATCCATGATTGAATGAGAACTTCATTCTCTTTTTGTTGGAACCTTTGTTTAGGTGTTTTTGCAACTAGAGAGATGCAACTTCTTCACTAAGGTTAATAGTTTCTAAGCTACCTCGAGTGCAAAATTGTTGTGTTTCATGTTCTTGATCATTTGATTGCACGCCACTATTATCTATTTGAGTCACATGAGATATATAGGGGTTAGTTGATTGAGATGTAAATTGTTGATATTCATATGGATAAGGTGGTGTTTGATATGAGTAATTTCCAAAATATAGATTATTTTGTGAAGTTGGGATAAAAGGAGAGTGTTTTGAAAATTCGAGTTATGGTGTGAATTTGAGATAAGAGGTACATTTCCAAAGTATGGATTGCTTTGTTGATTTGGAATACAAGGAAGAATACAACCATTTTGGATAAAACTAGATGAAGAGTTATTTTGATTGAGATCCATTAACAAATGAATGTGTAAGAAGAAGAAAATTAAAATGAGATAAAATAAATAATTGAAAATTAAATTAATGGTGAATGAAAATTGCATAAAATGAATGACTATTTATTTATGTTAAAAATTATTATCATTATGAAATTTTACCGTTGCACTATTATATAGTCAATATTATTATTACCTTTTCTAATTATTTCTAGCCGTTGTGTTAATTTTTTTTGAAAAACAATATTATGAATCAAAACCACAAAATGTATTTTATCATTTACCGAAGGTTCAAAAACTAGCCGTTGCGTTATTCATATTACCATGACTTTATTTACGAGTCAGCAAAAATAAGTTAAAGAGTGTCTTTACATGAGAAAACACTTTTTTTTCTCAATTATGCAAGTATTTTCACACAGTTTTTTAAATAATTGTGTAGAAATGGCTATGTGTCAGCCGATATTTATGCTCTAAACAATAACTTAATATTTGAGAAAAAGTAAATTTGTAACTCGATTCAAACTATCTTGTGACTTGAATCACAAACTTAGGATTCTTTCTTAATTCCAGTCATGACTCCCTCTTATTCTTATCACCTAACATAAAAAATTTTGAAA